ATCTCTTCTTCCTGGCAGCAGGGATGATAGAGAGAGGGAGAGTGGCGAGTTACCATGGCAACAGTAAGCTGTCTGCAAAGCTATATACCTGTTCGCTGGGTTTCCAGAGAAAGAAGTGTGAGAGGAGTGGCAAGAGTCTTGTAAAGAGTCCTCTCCTGCTGATGTTCAGGTGTATATCAGTATGTAGTGTCTCTACTTTAAAGAGTCCTCTCCTGCTGATGTTCAGGTGTATATCAGTATGTAGTGTCTCTACTTTAAAGAGTCCTCTCCTGCTGATGTTCAGGTGTATATCAGTATGTAGTGTCTCTACTTTAAAGAGTCCTCTCCTGCTGATGTTCAGGTGTATATCAGTATGTAGTGTCTCTACTTTAAAGAGTCCTCTCCTGCTGATGTTCAGGTGTATATCAGTATGTAGTGTCTCTACTTTAAAGAGTCCTCTCCTGCTGATGTTCAGGTGTATATCAGTATGTAGTGTCTCTACTTTAAAGAGTCCTCTCCTGCTGATGTTCAGGTGTATATCAGTATGTAGTGTCTCTACTTTAAAGAGTCCTCTCCTGCTGATGTTCAGGTGTATATCAGTATGTAGTGTCTCTACTTTAAAGAGTCCTCTCCCGCTGATGTTCAGGTGTATATCAGTATGTAGTGTCTCTACTTTAAAGAGTCCTCTCCTGCTGATGTTCAGGTGTATATCAGTATGTAGTGTCTCTAGTTTAAAGAGTCCTCTCCTGCCGATGTTCAGGTGTATATCAGTATGTAGTGTCTCTACTTTAAAGAGTCCTCTCCCGCTGATGTTCAGGTGTATATCAGTATGTAGTGTCTCTACTTTAAAGAGTCCTCTCCTGCTGATGTTCAGGTGTATATCAGTATGTAGTGTCTCTACTTTAAAGAGTCCTCTCCCGCTGATGTTCAGGTGTATATCAGTATGTAGTGTCTCTACTTTAAAGAGTCCTCTCCTGCTGATGTTCAGGTGTATATCAGTATGTAGTGTCTCTAGTTTAAAGAGTCCTCTCCTACTGATGTTCAGGTGTATATCAGTATGTAGTGTCTCTACTTTAAAGAGTCCTCTCCTGCCGATGTTCAGGTGTATATCAGTATGTAGTGTCTCTACTTTAAAGAGTCCTCTCCTGCTGATGTTCAGGTGTATATCAGTATGTAGTGTCTCTACTTTAAAGAGTCCTCTCCTGCTGATGTTCAGGTGTATATCAGTATGTAGTGTCTCTACTTTAAAGAGTCCTCTCCTGCTGATGTTCAGGTGTATATCAGTATATAGTGTCTCTACTTTAAAGAGTCCTCTCCTGCTGATGTTCAGGTGTATATCAGTATATAGTGTCTCTACTTTAAAGAGTCCTCTCCTGCTGATGTTCAGGTGTATATCAGTATGTAGTGTCTCTACTTTAAAGAGTCCTCTCCTGCTGATGTTCAGGTGTATATCAGTATGTAGTGTCTCTACTTTAAAGAGTCCTCTCCCGCTGATGTTCAGGTGTATATCAGTATGTAGTGTCTCTACTTTAAAGAGTCCTCTCCTGCTGATGTTCAGGTGTATATCAGTATGTAGTGTCTCTAGTTTAAAGAGTCCTCTCCTACTGATGTTCAGGTGTATATCAGTATGTAGTGTCTCTACTTTAAAGAGTCCTCTCCTGCCGATGTTCAGGTGTATATCAGTATGTAGTGTCTCTACTTTAAAGAGTCCTCTCCTACTGATGTTCAGGTGTATATCAGTATGTAGTGTCTCTACTTTAAAGAGTCCTCTCCTGCCGATGTTCAGGTGTATATCAGTATGTAGTGTCTCTACTTTAAAGAGTCCTCTCCTGCTGATGTTCAGATGTATATCAGTATGTAGTGTCTCTACTTTAAAGAGTCCTCTCCTGCTGATGTTCAGATGTATGTGTGGCTACTTGTGGTACAATGTGGTTGTAAGAGGCCTCACACAACTACATTTTCACTTCTCAAATTGTTAATTGGAGTATAAACCAAGGAGGTCTAAGGATTTGTTTACATAAATAGAGAATACAAGTGTTGTCCTCAAACTACTCTTCTCTAAATCTCTCTGGGTTCCTTTATCCTTCTCAATCCTTTGTGGCTCTCCCTCCTGCTCAGAAGGAGGTGAGGTCCCACCAAGTGCAGCGCCACAGGCATGCATCATTATACCTGACCTTCTACTCCACCACACAGTGGGAGAGAAGGGGGAGACGGACAGGGAGGGAGAATTTTAACCATAGATGCAAAAGCGTGAGAAGGAGGGGAGAGGCACCGAGTGACGAAGCAGTTGCTATGCCAAAAACACATTCACATTCACACACACACACACATACACACACACACACACACACACACACACGTAAACAAGGAGGAGGTTTGGATGAGACGAGTGGAAGCAGGAGTGTCAGAACGATGCTGCCGAGGACGACCGCAGCATACTAACAGCTCTGACAGCACACACACGCACACACACACATACACACATATACACACAAAGCAATGCTGACTGCAGAGATGAGCGAGGGCAATACTGAATGTGATCATGACAAGAAAATGTTCTCAACGTCAAATCTTGTTTCTGCAACATTTTCTCCCTTAAAGCTTGGTGTCAAGTGTGTGGTGTGTGTGTGCGTGCGTGCGTGCGTGCGTGCGTGTGTGTGTGTGTGTGTGTGCGTGTGTGTGTGTGTGTGTGTGTGTGTGTGTGTGTGTGTGTGTGTGTGTGTGTGTGTGTGTGTGTGTGTGTGTGTGTGTGTGTGTGTGTGTGTGTACAAAACGTGTGAATCTATTGAGAATTGTTATTCATTTTGTTAATTCTCTAAGTAAGAAAAAAGGAGATGATATAATAGTAAAGTTTCTGAATTAGCAGCCAATGCACTAGTGTGATCCAAAATTGAAATTAATTGTTTGGTTCCTTTCAGTCTAATTTCCCACTCCTCTCACTTCAACAAGTGTCACAGGAAGGACCAAACCAAACACAGAAGGTGTGAATCATATTTTCACTCTGAGGTATTAAGTGTGTGGAACAAAGTCAGCCATGTTTTCCTTTTACAGCAACAAACCAATGACGGCAATAACAATACATTTCATCCAGTATCCAAATACAGCTGATCGATTGAGCATTACTGTTAATTATCCTCAACAAGACAGCATATAAGAATCCTGTTCTTTGAATGGATAATTACTACAAATCGAAGCTGAATGCCAGTTGCCTGTGTTTACAGGAACCCTTTTAAATACAGCAAACCCTTCTACTACATTCTCAGGATCAGACTGGTCAACAAGATGAAATATTCATGAAGTCCTGAAGATACCGTAGCCGTGCCAGTCCAAAGACTTCAAAGGCAAGAATTACGAAGTATTTTGCTATCCAAAGGTATTGTGTTCTGAATCTTCTACTACCTCCATCACTTTGGATCTATAGAAACATCCTGCAGGCTAGTTTGAAACATAGCGGTGGAAACTGTAAAATAGGTCTTTCACAATACATCCATCAACTCAAAGAAAAGGTAGCCTCACAAAGGCAACTTCTAAATGTGCCCTTCAACACAAATAAAACCAAGGTCTTCTTTAAGGTGATGTTGACAATTCGTTTTGGGAAGAGAATGATTTTCAGCTTCAATCTAAATGAAGTGACGCCCAATGTGATCCCCGACTCTGATAAAAGTCCCTGCAGTCAACCTGTCGACTTGGGCAAGATACCAAACCCCAAGTTGCTTTCAATGGCGACTTCTGTGTATTTCATTGTCACTGAGCAGCTAGTATAACAGCCTCTGCCTCCCTATGAATGTGTGTAAATGGATGAATACTAACTCACTTTAGTTTCAGTGTAAACCTGATCAAGAACTTCTCGGTTCTCCACAACACACATTTGTTACGGCTCAACACACATTCATTGACTGGTGGAGTCCACTACGCACACAATTATCCAAGATACATATCACTTCACCCACCCACAGGTCTTTAGGCCAGAGAAAACCATTCTGAACCCTGAACCCTAAGCCCAATGCAAAACTCCAACCCTAAGCCTACCGCAAAACTCCAACCCTAAACCCAACGCAAAACTCCAACCCTAAGCCCAACCCTAAACTCCAACCCTAAGCCCAACCCTAAACTCCAACCCTAAACCCAACCCTAAACCCAACGCAAAACTCCAACCCTAACCCTAAACTCCAACCCTAAGCCCAACCCTAAACTCCAACCCTAAACCCAACGCAAAACTCCAACCCTAAGCCCAACCCTAAACCCAACCCTAAACCCAATGCAAAACTCCAACCCTAAACCCAACGCAAAACTCCAACCCTAAGCCCAACCCTAAACCCAATGCAAAACTCCAACCCTAAGCCCAACCCTAAACTCCAACCCTAAACCCAACCCTAAACTCTAACCCTAAACTTCAACCCTCAACTCTAACCCTGAACTTGAACCTTAAGCTCCAACCGTAAACCCAACCCTAAATTCTAACCCTAAACCCAACGCAAAATTCCAACCCTAAGCCCAACGCAAAACTCCAACCCTAAACTCCAACCCTAAACTCCAACCCTAAACCCAATGCAAAACTCCAACCCTAAGCCCAACCCTAAACTCCAACCCTAAACCCAACGCAAAACTCCAACCCTAAGCCCAACCCTAAACTCCAACCCTAAGCCCAACCCTAAACTCCAACCCTAAACCCAACGCAAAACTCCAACCCTAAACCCAATGCAAAACTCCAACCCTAAACCCAACGCAAAACTCCAACCCTAAGCCCAACCCTAAACCCAACGCAAAACTCCAACCCTAAACCCAACGCAAAACTCCAACCCTAAGCCCAACCCTAAACCCAATGCAAAACTCCAACCCTAAGCCCAACCCTAAACTCCAACCCTAAGCCCAACCCTAAACTCTAACCCTAAACTTCAACCCTCAACTCTAACCCTGAACTTGAACCTTAAGCTCCAACCGTAAACCCAACCCTAAATTCTAACCCTAACCCTGAACCCCTACCCTCACCCTAACCGTAACCCACTTTAGTTTTAGCGTACCTGTGACGTCGAGCGGTATGAACTGCCCCGGCGGCCGTCTCCCCGGCGGCCAGCGTGGTTTGTCAGCGACGGGAGGCCCCGTGATGGCGGAGGTGTTGCCGCTCCAACCCGGCGGGGGGCGATCCGAGCCGCAGGGCGACGGAGAGGGAGACGGGTCGGTGATGGACCTCAGTCCAAACACCGAGGAGGAGGTCTCATCGTCATAGAGCTGTTTGGTCGCCGGCTAGAAGACGAGGAAGAAGAGACATTCTTTACTCAAGTAGAAGTACAGATACTCGTGTTTAAAAATACTCTGGTGAAAGTAGAAGTACTGACTAAACTTCTTTACTCAAGTAAAAGTAAAGACTTTGAAATGTACTTAAGTAAAAAGTACCCATTACTAGCAGCTGTTTTAAAGAGTACCTGACCTCCCTTTATATTAATAGAACAATAATGTCATTGTTAGCTAATGAATGTTTCCATGCTGAACAACGGCAACATGACAACGTTTTCATTGGTCCCTCTTCTTTAGAGAAGACCAGGAAATGATGGATACACGGATCGTGTTCAAATCAATAGGCACGCAATGACTCTAAAGAATAATGATCACGCACCAAACACACATTCAGACTAAAGGAACCAGCTGTTTGGAAAATGAGAGAAGTAGAAAGTACAGGTATTTCTGTTCAATATGTAAGAAGTAGAAAGTACAGGTATTTGTGTTCAACATGTAAGAAGTAGAAAGTACAGGTATTCGAGTTCAACATGTAAGAAGTAGAAAGTACAGGTATTTGAGTTCAACATGTAAGAAGTAGAAAGTACAGGTATTTGGGTTCAACATGTAAGAAGTAGAAAGTACAGGTATTTGGGTTCAACATGTAAGAAGTAGAAAGTACAGGTATTTGGGTTCAACATGTAAGAAGTAGAAAGTACAGGTATTTGAGTTCAACATGTAAGAAGTAGAAAGTACAGGTATTTGGGTTCAACATGTAAGAAGTAGAAAGTACAGGTATTTGGGTTCAACATGTGAGAAGTAGAAAGTACAGGTATTTGTGTTCAACATGTAAGAAGTAGAAAGTACAGGTATTTGGGATCAACATGTAAGAAGTAGAAAGTACAGGTATTTGCGTTCAACATGTAAGAAGTAGAAAGTACAGGTATTTGAGTTCAACATGTGAGAAGTAGAAAGTACAGGTATTTGTGTTCAACATGTATGCAATTAAAAAGTCGTCAGTAAAATAAGTAGTGGAGTAAAGTACTGACACCAGAAAAATGTACATACGTACAGTAACAAAGTATTTGTACTCCAATACTTCCCACCTCTGCGAGGAAGAGATGGAGTGTGTGAGCAATCTTCTCTCAGACAGCCTTAAACCTGCAGTAATTGATAATTTGTTTGCCCCTCTGGGTCAGTGCAACAAGCTGCAAACATATCACCAGGAGAAACACCTTATTAACAGGAGATGGGGAGTGTGTTAGCAAACAGTCGCCTGTTAAATCCAGCAGATACAGAGAGACATGAGATTCATTTGAGGATGAGTTTTTCTAGACGTTGAGGAAACACGAGTGAACACAACAAAGTTTTGATTTTAATTGAGGAGGTGTTCTTAAATATCTTATATTTTGATGACACTGTATTCTTATCCTGTAAAAGTCATATTTTACTGTTTTCCTGTACCAAAAAAAAAGTAATTGGCTCATAGTAAAACAACTTGTTTTATTTGTGCTTAATAGTTCCCAAAAAAGGGTGTCTAATCAACTCAATGCAACTTATATCTGGTCAAAGAAACACATCAAATTGCAACAGAGAATAATTTATTTCTATTTCTTCGTTTCTAAATATTCTTTATATGGATTGAAAAATATTCATTGTTTTTTTCACAATTAATTTATAGCTCTAATGCACACATTATTTCTGTTTTCTTCTTCGTCCTAAAATTGTACAACCAATGTGCGATTTACTGAGGAAAAAGAGACATTTTGTAATGAAATCCACGTTTATTTGACTAATTTTAACCATCTTAATGCAGTTTGACCGGCCTAACTTGATTTCCTATCTTGTTCAATATCTCGTCCCAAACTTCTCTAAAAGTTCTCGTTTGTAAGGGCCTAGCCAGCATGTTGTTTTTGTTATTGTTCCTGTTTTCATTGTGGTTTCTCTCATTTCAGTCTCAGCTTTCCTGCCCTTGATTGAACTCCACCTGCTTCCCATCCCTAATTAGCCTCACATGTGCCCCATTATCATCTCTCCCTCTGCCTACTTAGTCTGCATCCACATTCCCTTCAGTGCCAGTTCGTCTTAGTTATTCCTAGCGTTCCAGCAGTATTTTTCCTAGTATCTGATTCCACGTGTACCTGACCCAGCTTCGTGTCCTGACCCGGTCCCTGTCTACTCCTCGTCTGTTTTGGTAGCCTTATTGACTGATCTCCCGTGTACCGAACCTTGGCTATAAAGACCTTTTTTTGCATCCTAAGCCTCTGTCTCTGAGTCGTGCTATTGAGTCCTCCACTTGTGTTCATTCAGTCGTTACATCGTTGCTATGTTTTATTACACATTAGATAAGAGGGATTTCTTCTCTTTAGAAAGGTGTTGTTGGGTCTAGCAAAAAAAAAAGACTGAATTAACTCCGGATTCAATTAAAGCTGAAATCAATACGAGGCGAGACAGAGGTCATCTAATCATCTACCTTCACCAGAGTGAAATGATTTGTCTTCTTTAAGCTGCTTCAATGACACTGGGAGGAAGGGAAGAGAGGAAAATAAAAAACGGTATAGTCTCATCAACAGGAAGTTGTAATCCCAGCTGGGAGGGAACTGTCATCCATCCTTTCTTAAACCTCATATCTACCATCTCTACCAAAGAGCCTCGAAGCAAGGCATTAAAACCCACACTTCTTTAGGGCTTTTGCAATGCAGGAAACACTCTCTGATGAAATACGTGAAAGAAACCGTTCGTGTCTCATATCCACGTTACTTATGGCGCATTTCCACTACAGCGCGGAGTTCGCTTTAAGCGTGCCGAGCCGTGCGGGGCCCGTTTTTGGTTGCGTTTCCACTTAGCGTAGTACCGGCTAGCGGGTCCTAATTCACAGTTTTTCTGGCCCCATAAAATCGTGGTTCTAGGGCCAGGAACAACCAGGCTGAGTCGGGCTGAGTATGCTAAACAGAGAGAGAATCGCTGGCAAGGGGGCTACAACTACAACAAGATGAACATATTTGACCGTGATTTAATTGTAATACACGTTTCAAAATGATGCCGAAGTAACAACATACTGATACCGGTTAGTAAAAACCATGAATTAATGCTTTGACAAGTCTGCAGACAGACGGCAGGCGAGAAATCCTTTAAAATGCGTGTTTTCTAAATGGAGATTGGCTAAGCTAACGTTATATATGCTCCGACCGTCCACACTCACAACAACGGCCTATACAGACATAAATAAACCAGCGACTGTATTCGCCATGACACAGGCAGTCTGTGGTTTGTACTTGTTTAACTTTTGTCTAGTTTCTGAACAGATATGAGGAGCTGTGAGCTCTGAGTGCTAAGAGCTAACGGCTGTGTTGTTTTTCTGGGGCTCTCATTGAAGATGACGTCACGGCTCCGCCTACACTGCGTTACTATAGTTACTGCCCCAGTTCCTAAACTGTAATGTAAATGCGCCATAAAGTGAGCCAGTCCTAATGAGGCCTAGCCATACCGAGCGAGGCCGTGTAGTGGAAATGCACCATTAGTGGGAATGTGCTAAAGTCTAATTGAAAAAAGCCAAAACAGAGAGAAATACATTTAATAAAACCTGGAAAAGTGCTTATTTTCTCCAAACAACAGTCCAAAGGTCAGAAATATTTCATTTCCAATAACATAATTCAGAGAAAAGCAGCAGATCTCACATTTGAGAAGCCAGAATTGATTATTTGTGACCTTTCTGCTTGATAAAAGACCAATTGAGCATTATCGTTGACTATCCCAGCACCGAGGGAACTGTCATCCTGACTGCTTTTAAATCTAAGGTACAAATGGGGAAATATTTCTGACGTCAGAAAAGGGGTGCTCCGCCTATATGGGCAACTCCACCTATCAGGGGAATGAGAGACCGCTCGAAAGCAGAATCAGTCCTTGCAAAAACAGGGCTGGAAAAGAGCAAATAGAGCGAAATGAGGTATGGGCCTACAATATATGTTTCAAATATAGCATGATAGGTCCACTTTAAGCAAGGCATTAAAACACACACTTCTTTCGGGCTCTTGCACTGCAGGAAACACTCCGGTTTATATCCTTCCTGATGAAATAGGTGAGAGAAACCATGCGTTTGCACTGTAGAGTCTCAAAGCTGAGTTATCTACAAGTCTAATTGAAATCAGAGAGAAAGACATTAACAGAGAAGCAGAGTTCCAATGTGCAGGAGAGTTCATCAGGATGCCATAATGACACAGTTTGGGGAAATAGTCTGCAGCAAAGGAGAGAGAAGTGAACTCACTGCAGTCTGTTTCATCCATGTGTTCAGTTTGGTTCACTTTAATACGACTACAAGCACTTTGAATTGCCTTGTGTTGAAAAGTGCTATATAAATAAACTTGCCTTGCCTTGCCTTACAAATCAGTTCAATGACGCCTTTAAACGACTCCTCTGTGTGTCAATGAGCTGCCACTTGCTATTTCTATTTCTGTTGATATGTCTGTGACACTAAATGATCTGGCATTTGTTTGTGGAAACCTGCTGAGAGTGTGGAAAAGGATGATGACTAATTCTGACAAATCTAACAGAGGGGGCGGGACAAACTGTTCAATAGGTTTTTGGATAATTCAGCGTTTGTCTTTTACATGAAAGAGACGATGACAAAGGAAATGAGGCATAGTGTCACAACAGGAATTTAGCTGGAAGAGTATTAGTGACACGGAAATTATATAATTTGTCAGCGGCTGGGAATAATAATAATAATAATAATAATAATGGTATAGTGCATTTGAATCAGTGTTTACTATTATGTGTGACGTGTCAGACACATTTTACTGCTTCATTAATGTGTATTTAGCTTTTTACGGTAACACAAAAAGCATAATACCTAGTCTACAATGCATCCTTTCTAAATGAGCTTTGTCTAGAGCAGTCTCTGTCCTATGTATCTTTAAAAAAGCCAATTTCTCTCAAAAAAGCAGCCCTATTTTCAGCCATATGACGATCCAAGAGGCTTTGGTTTATTTAGGGAAGACAGGAGAGCAGACAGTGTGTGTGTGTGTGTGTGTGTGTGTGTGTGTGTGTGTGTGTGTGTGTGTGTGTGTGTGTGTGTGTGTGTGTGTGTGTGTGTGTGTGTGTGTGTGTGTGTGTGTGTGTGTGTGTGTGTGTGTGTGTGTGTGTTTACCAGGAAGATGAAGTCAGGCCTCTTGTTGTTGAGGGAGACGGGCGAGCGGCTGAGCGAGGTGGACGTGTCGTCGGAGCTCTGAGAGGTCGGGTGTCTGAACGTCTGACCGGGCAGCTTGGTGTCGTACAACTGCTCCTCAAAGTCTGCATGGAGAAAAGTTAGAGTCAACGTTCTGCAGCACAGACAAGAATGAAGCGCACACACACACACACACACACACGCACACACACACACACACACACACACACACACATCAGAGATGCTATTTGCATGGCTGAGAGCAGAGATCTATCTGTTTTGCATCACCCTGTGGTTTCGCTCCTGTGACTGCCGCCTTGAGGGAATCCTTAAAGTTGTTTTTTTAATCCTCTCCTGAGTTTGCGGCGTTCTGTTTTTCCTCTCACCGGTTTTTTGCTCTTTTCCTCTCAAATTTCCTCTGGATATACCGGACTGTTTCTGCCTCTCTGGCAGCTTAGGCGACTCTCCCCCCAGGCCATTGTAAACAGATTCCTAACCCCCACACCCCCCCCCACCCCCTCATTCTCCCACACACACACACACAAACACACACGCACATTCCCCCTAACAATCCCTCAGCCAATCCTATACCCCAAAACACACTCCCGACCCACTCCCCACTCATCCCCTTAAGCCCTCTCTCTCTCTCTCTCTCTCTCTCTCTCTCCCTTTCTCACACACACGCACACACACACACACACACACACACACACACACACACACACACACACACACACACACACCACACACACACACACACACACACACACACACACACACACACACACACACACACACACACACACACACACACACACACACACACACACACACACACACACACACACACACACACACACACACACACACACACACACACACACACACACACACACACACACACACACACACACACACCACACACACACACACACACACACACACACACACACACACACACACACACACACACACACACACACGCTCCCAGCACCATCCCGCTGACAGCCCCTCAGTGAGGTGCAGAGGTTTGGGCTGAACTTGCTCTTCGGAACAATATGGATTTTTTTGCTGGTGGCCCAAAGTCGCCTAGCAACACGAGGGGTGATGTGGGTGTGTGTGCGTGCGTGTGTGTTCGTGTGTGTGTGGGGGGGGTTAATGGCTGCCTCTGGGTATAGATATTGGGAAAACGTGTCACAAATGGGACCTTAAAGAGCAGCAGTAAACAAAAATGAAGGGGGTGACATTTAGCGTTTTGCCTTAATCAATATATAAATAACACGAGAAAACATATTTTAAAAAAGGCTTCTTGGGACTGTAAAAGTCTAAATCAATAAAAAACTAAACACTAAATACAACAAAATGTATCTTTATCAACAGAAAGTGACAATTAAATGTAATAAATATGTAAGTAAATTAGTTGATTTTCCTCCACTTTGATACCAACAATACACTAAAACGATGGTGACAACTTGGAAAAAAGTTATATATTACAGCCAAAAATGACCACTAATGAGCTCAAATACAGTGAATACTGGACTTAAATCTGCTAGGTTTCTTGACTCATGACTCAAAATGAATGCCCAAGAGAAAATTGGCAAATCTTGTTATCGTGCGCCAAAGAATCCCAAACTTCAAATAATGCTGCTTTGCATCAAATAAATGTAATTCTATTGCAAAATGGAAACCAAACCCCGGATATCCTCATTGTTTCTAAGTGTCAGTGTAAAGTGGAATAAGACCCATACGGTAAAGCAGCAGATTTTAAAAGCTGATGGCATCTGTTTTTACACTCTGTCAGCTGTAACGGCTTCAAGCCTCCAGGCCTGGTAAACACATTGAAAAAAAGTCTGTATCCGCACAGAACAGGAAGTTTGGCAGGTGTCAGATTTACCCGGGTGCAGACCACGTGGGAGTGTTTTTGGAAGTTGGGAACATCAAGTCATGAAATCGAATTAATATAAAAGCAGCAGCCGCACCAAAATACAAAACGATAATGATGTGTTTTTATACGAGGGCAGGCAGCGCGCCCACACAGATTCCGTGCACTTTTGAAATGGCGTTTGGGATCACTTCTGTTTACCTCTTCCCTCTGTGGAACTAAAAGAGATCCGGCAGAAAATAAAGCTCTGTAGCTAGACCCTGCTCTGAGTGTACCAAAACGTTCACAACTTTCGACACTTCAAAATGTCGTGTGCATTTGGGGGTTTTTCAGCTGAGTTTAAAAGGCTTTAACAAACTAAAACCATGGTTGACATTATTGCACAGAGGGATGTAATCCTTCAACTAAAGGTATAGCACGACGGAGACAAAAGCTTTTCACGAGACGAGGATTACACGTGTCGGCTGCTCTCTGTTTTGTGTCCCTAGGGTGACACTGAGAACAATTTTCCACCACATGTTGACGTCTGAGATGTATGATCTGCTGCTTTAAGTGAGAGGGAAAGGAAGAAGAGGATGAGATTCAGACGAGCTGCTTGGGTCGCCGGGAAGCTGCAGAAGCCCGGGTGGTTTGGAAGCAAATTCCCATCCATCTTCTCCCGCTTATCCGTGGTCGGGTCGCGGGGGTAGCAGTTCCAGCAGAGAGCCCCAAACGTTCTTTTCCCTGGCGACATCAACCAGCTCTGACTGGGGATCCCAAGGCGCTCCCAGGCCAGCGAAGAGATATAATCCACCTGGTCCTAGGTCTACCCCTTGGTCTCTTCCCAGGCGCCCAGGTGGCATCCTAACTAGGTGCCCGAACCACCTCAACTGGCTCCTTTCGACGCGAAGGAGGAGCGGCTCAACTCCGAGTCCCTCCCTGATGAACGAACTTCTCACCTTATCCCTAAGGGAGACGCCAGCCACCCTGCGGAGAAAACCCATCTCGGCCGCTTGTATCCGCGATCTCGTTCTTTCGGTCATGACCCATCCTTCATGACCATAGGTGAGGGTAGGAACGAAAATGGCCCGGTAGACAGAGAGCTTTGCCTTCTGGCTCAGCTCCCTTTTCGTCACAACGGTGCGGTAAAGCGACTGCAGTACCGCTCCGGCTGCTCCGATTCTCCGGCCCATCTCACGCTCCATTGTTCCCTCACTCGAGAACAAGAAGCAAATTCCCCTTAATGTAAGTATTTTTGGACACATGCATGACAGGATGTGACCAAGAAACAGGCCTCCTTTCAGCGTGAGGTTAGCAATCCTGTGCAAACCCTTATTTGGTTAAAATAAATGCTTCTACTAAAACTACTACACCATGACTCATGGAAGCTTTCCTACAGAAGCATTATAAATATACACATTTTAAACCGTTACATTTTGTTTAAAAAAAGCAAGTCATTTGGTGGTTGTACAGTAGTGGGAACAAATGATGGCTAGTATCATAAATCTGATCATCTGATATTGTAAATGTTGTTTTATTTAGTATTACTCCAATGGATTAATAATAATGGGGACTTAAAGGGGTCCCAATACAAGTTATGTATCTCTCTGAAGGTTCTTTATCTTACCTAAATGAGTTTGCAGTTCAATAAAACCCTTAACTCCCTTAAACTTATTTCATCAAGGTTGGATTTACTTCAGGATTTCATTCAAAGGCAAGTGTTGCAGATTATTCTCTTTTTGTAATCAAACTCTTCTGTTTAAGGAAACACGTGCCTTGCTGGATTCACTTGAGGATTTCTAAGATTTAGAAATAAAACTCTTCTGTTGGCAATTAAAGTTTCTTCATAAATATGAATGAAGACACGATAAACCGAGAACTTGTTTGTTCACTGCCAATTCCTCATAAAGCTATTAGACGTTTCACTTTGTAAGCGCTGGCTTTAAGGAAACACGTCCCTAACGGTTTTGTATTCACGGCGGCGTATCACACACCCGGCGCTCATGATAGAGAAGTGTCTATTTTGCAGTGTTCCAAATAATTGCAGCTGCTAAACTGCTGAATGCAAAAAAACAGCAGGATCAGCCGCTTGGTAAACAGAGAGCGGGAAGTTAAGAGTCGTATCACCCAAACTGCAGCGGGCCGAAGAAGTGAGGCGTCAGCAAGCGGCACGAGGAAGAGGAGGATGATGAAGGAGTAAGGGTATGACAGAAACAGACATCAAAAAGCTTAAAGGGAAGTTTGAGAAACCGGCTCGAGATACACTTGTTGTTATATTCCATGGAATGCTCTTAACATCCCGATAGCAATGAATATCTTAAGTGCTTTGACAATAAATCCATTAAAACATTTAATCTCTGGAAGCCGTACTGTAAAAAGCACGACCAATCATCTGAGCCGGCTAAAGTAACTGGATGGCCTACCTGCCTGTCAGCCTGCCATCTGGGCACAAATTTATCTCGTGCCCTCATTGGTCATGTGTGTGTTCGTGTGTGTTGGAGGAGGGGCTCTGTAAGGAAGTCTGAAGGAAGGGGCAGATTTGTTCCGGTTGTGTATTTTCAAATTCTAGCGCACTCGAGCTGGTTTCTCCAAAATGACCTACCCCACCTTTAATTGGATTAAGTTTCAGATGCAGGAGAAGTCAGAGGAAGAAGAGTTAGAGGATAAAAACAGGGAACTGCAAAGAGTTTGAGAAGACGAGAGAAAGGGAATTAAAAGAATGGGATATAAAAGCAAGAAGGAGAAGAAGTATAAGAAGGCTATAATGAAGCAGCAGATGATGAGGAAAAAGCAGAAGAAAGGGTATATGACAAGAACAGAATTGGAGAAGCATCCAAAAGGCAGCAGTGTGTAGGTGGAACAGAATGAGACAAGTGGAAGTACAAAAAGACGAGGCAGGTAAACACGAAATATCGGAGACAAGCGCCAGAAAAGAACCGGAGAAAAATGTGAAAATGAGAAAGTAGGTGTAGAGAAACGAGAGGGTGGAAGAGGAGGAGAGAAGGGAATCAAAACAACATGAGGTCCAGTCTGGAAGAGATAGCAGGGGAGGAGATGCTGGGAGATATAGAAAAAAAACATGCTTCTAAATCCAAAAAGAATAAAGCGTTTTGCGGCACAAGTAAGTTCGAAGTATCGGGTAAGTTAAAGTTCATTTTCTCTGATGTCTGACTCGAGGATTTCCACAAACAATGCTTTTAAAGGTCAGTAAGTAGCCATTCAAAAGTTAAAGTCAGCGCTGTCCTCCTCCAGCAGAACCTGCTTTTTTAATCCTGAGAGAAATTCAACTTCCTGGTGATAAGCTGACTCTGTTTCCAGCCGAGTGAATTACCGCTCTGATGTCTGTGAGATGGAGAGAGCCGGGTTTAAGCTAATCGCCTCCTGGCTCTCTCCAAAACTCAAACACACGCCTCCCAGCAGCCCTCCATAAAGCTCACTAATTAAAACCCTATATCTGGATAGTTTAATCACCAACACTCTGGCAAATGGAGAAACAACCGTTGCGTATTTAAAAGCCCATTTTCCTCAAGAAATAGTCTTTCTGCAGAGCTCAGAATAAAATAAAAGTTAGGGGGTGATAAGTCGGTAAGTCAAAAGGTTACA